ATAATTAATTGTAACATTAAATACATTTAAGATATTTTGAATCAAAAATGTAAGGCAGATAAAATGAACTGAGAACATTTTTCTTAGTAATAAACAGGAAGAGATTTTAGCTGGCATTAATAGCTGCCTGAGGCAGCAGAAATAATCCTAAAAGTGTTTTTCAGACTATGCCTTTTTACATAAATACATTTGAATTACGTAATTCAATCATAACATACCCTGACACAGAAAACAGCAACCAACCGACCTTTAAATGGCCTACTGCAAGCTTCCAAGTACCATTAAATAAACAGAAAACAGGGACTATCTCTAAAAACGTGTTGTAAAAGAGGCACAAAGACACAAGGCCATGTTCATAAATTGTCACCACTTGTGCAAATGAGTTATATGTGCTAGCAGAGAGGGACAAAATGAGTATTTTTAAAAAAATGCAGAGGCAATAGAGAAGAAAACGAATATGCCAGAGTTCTATTTCTTCGTTACCCTGAAAACTCTGTGGCTTTTATCTAAGTTAACTGTGGGTTTCCTTTCTAAACCTCACAATAAAAGGACGTGCCAGGAGATCTGATTATAAAGCACGTGTTTCAACTGCCAATGAGAGAAATGCCAGATATTTCCTTAATCTTAATGCATTTTCATAGGTTTGGTGTTACTGGACACTAGCAGTAGGCAAAGGGAAAATTATAGGACCACCATAAAAAATGACTGTTGATGATTTTGCTCACCGTTATGACGTGAATGGAGTTTTGGCTTCAATCCTCAATCAATTTCTAGCTGGAATACTCGCATGCTGGTAACTCAGCCCTAGAATCCCCAGGAACCCAGCCACGCCAGGTTAGCATTCTCCATTTTAAGTTAATTTGCACGGTAGTTTTCAGGTAGGTGTTTTCCCCCAGTTTGCGGGGAAAGGGATGAAACAGGGAGTGTCTAAGACAGCGGCTGGATAACTTCTACAGAATTACTACCCAATAATCAGCTTATTTAGCACTTTCCTTTTGTGATTGACAAAGAATCTCTCATTCAGTTTATTCCCAGTAGGATATTTTAGATTATTTTTTTTTCTCCAGTTCAGTGGCAAAAGCAGATCAACGCAGCATTTCTGAAACCATTTCTGCATGCGAAGGTCAGGTTTCTATCACTGAGCAGCAGCACGGCTCTCAGCATTACATCACGTGAAATGCAGCCAACGGGAACAAACGTTCCCCTGTTTCCCATCGCTCTCATCCCATCCTGTCTCAGTCTCTGTGGCTGGAAAAGCAAGCTGACATTTCAAACTCCGCAAGTCTGGTGCTACCCTTCGGCCGACCAGAAGAGGAGGCTCTGACACTGAGCGATGGCCGCCTTCCCTCGAGAAAGATGCTGTGCTCCTGCAGCGATCCCTCACTACGAGGGGGAAATCGCGTTTTAATTTCCCAGTGTCATGTCAGCGAATGGGCTTAGAACTGATAAATGTTGAGGAGTCTCAAACATTTGGGAACAGAAGGAAGCTACAAATCAGCTTAATTTCCACTCTGAAATACTATTCTTTCCTTTATAAATATTCAATTTCTATGAAAGGCAAATGCTCCTTCTTATGTATCAGAGAAGCGAGAAACAAATTTATATTGGAAGATACAATACCAGTTTTTCAGGTCCTCTTCCTTTGACAGCCCATGTTCTATTGCTATGACCGTACAGTCTTTATTCACCTTATGCACTTCTGGGAGAACAATTTTAATGCTATACTAATGAATTTGACCTCCCAACGTGCCCAAGAAGCAGCTGTTGCTTTAAACTTTTTATAGAAAGAGGGAAATGGAGGCACCATGGCATTAAATGACTCTGCGCAAAGACATCCAACAATTAGCTTTTGGCTCAGACAGCTCTTCCGTTCCATGCTTTACTTAAAAAGTCAATCATCTCTTCATCTATTTTCTCTTAGCCACGTAGGTTCCCAAATTTGGCAGGTAACAAATCATAAGCATTATGAGATCCTCACTGGGACTCTGAAATAAGTGCGTTTAGTACTGTTTCATAACCAGGACAACACAGAGTCATATCATTAAAATTAAAGAGGCTGTCTTAATACCTTTATGCAAAGGGACAAATGTTAAAGTCTCAAAGCTTCAGCATGAACGTTTTGAACTGCACTGAGCTGAATCTTCACCTGTGCTGTGCCCCTCCCTGAAAAGCTGCAGAACTCATTGACTGATGACGGCTCAGTTTTGATCCTTGGACTCATGCTTACTCTTCTTATTATTTGAATGCTTTCAGCATTAGTTATAACCATTCTTCCAGCTATGTCACACCTGGTGCAAAAGACTTGACTAAATCTTTCACTAATTTAAAAAGATTTCACTACACTTAATGAAAAGTGTTTCAAGTTCGAGATTAATGTCAGATAAGGAAATAGTGAAACTGCAATTCAGTCAAACTTTAAATTCCAACAATAGCCCTATAGCTCAGTTGATGCCATATTTATGGTTGCATAACCTGTATCATCCATAGCATCGATCAGCTGAAGAAAGTAAGGCGAGAATGTATGTTACTTGTGGAATGTAGAAAAATTTCTATCATGGTGTAGAACTTGGGTGGTTTTATACCTTCCTTACATCTTTGTAGAAGAATGTACGCTTATTTTTCTAAAACACAAAAAACCACGACCATAGCAGTCAAAGAAATACATGCTTGAAAATTATTAGTGAAAGCTGCAATCAGATCAGCAATAATGTACAAGAGAGTTTATGGTTTACACTAGACGCTGAACTTGCACATGCAGATTTTTTAGCTAACATTGCCATGCCTTAACCTTGACTCAGAGAAAGCTGAGAAAAACTTCTCTCGATGCTTGAGGACAACACTGTCTCGACTGTCTTGTAATGTAGTTTTTTGCTGTTTTTTGAAATGCAATCAAATTCATTTCATGGGAACCATCAGAGCCTAAACACTGTCAAGCAGTGATGGGGAGGTGACAGCTTCTGCCTATGTGTCACGGTATCCTTAATTTCTACGGTGATACTCTTACTAGAAATAATAAAGGGACAAGCAAAGAAACCTTGATTTTTAAAGTATATTTACCGTAACATACCTTATTGCAAAATCCCCATACCACTGTTTGTATCTGTAAAGATATTTTATTCTGGATTTTAAGACTTCTCCAATGGTTCAATGCCTTCATTCCCTTCCAAACCACCAAGCAGAATTGCTCTTCAGTTAAAAATTACTGTTGTCTACTAGTGTATACTAGTGACACAAATGTCACTCTTCTTGACCTGCAAAGGGCCCCCAACTCTGGCATTCTACTGCTACCTCGTCCCCCTGGGCAAAAGACCCTACACCTAAGAAAACCTTTCTGAATACCACAAGATGGCCTGTTTCCTACCATACCTTCTAGTTGCCACCCTTTTCCTCCAGAAAGGCTCCAGGAAATCTCTTTTCCAGCTGCAAGTACTGCCTATAGCCCATTCGGAATACGCTGCCTCCAACAGCTCCTAAAACCTTTCCTAAGCACTGATGCACAGAATGCTTATGTGTGAAACAACATGCTTCTGAAAAAGGGTTGAGTCCTCTGATACTCATCGCTCTCTGAAGGGTTAATATAGGAAATGTAAAGGGACTTTATAGCTTTCATACCAAAGGCCTTTAAAAAAAAGGACCTTTAAAAAAAAACCCTACAGTGTGTGGCGTTAACTTTGCTACAGGGTAGATAGTTCAGGGAGAGAAATGTTTTGTGTGGTAAACAGCCTTGAATACCCATGGCAGTAATTTTAAAATTGACACTTGCTATGGAAGAAATGCATCTAATACAGAGTCATGAAAATCTGATGTATAAAAGCTTTTATGTGGTGGAAGTAGGCAAATTCATCATACCTGCACAGGTGCTAATGAGGGTCACAAAAGATAGTAGTCAGTCTTGTGTTGGTGAATAACTCTGAAGAGACATGTCTGCTTGCTGCCTTGAAAACTAACAGCATTCTTGTAGTGTAGTTCTTGAGGGAAAATAAGTACTTTCTCCTCCTTCCTGTCCCTATTACTTTGCTGGTGCAGTTGAACACCAGTCTAACTACAAGAATGATCCATCGGTTTTGTTCTAGGAGTTTCACAGTACTGTTTGATGACTCTTCCAACAACTTTCTCCAAGATAACTTTTATAAAATCACAATATAAGCAGAAGAAACAACTCTGAGCATGACCTTATTCACCATGTATTTTGTTCTTCAGTGTTTCTTATTTATACTACATGCTAGGGACAAAACTGGCATTCACAGAAGGGCTAAAGTTGCAGCAATGGAGATTTTACTACCTCTCCATTTATCTAATTAAATGCATCAGCAACACAAATGTCCGACCCAGTGCTTGAGCTTAGGGATATGTACCATCTTTGAGGTATCCTTGCTCCTCAGTGCCTCAAGAGATACAGATGATGAGTTGCCAGGTACAGTCAATGAATGCTGTTTATTCTAATAGGAACATTTATTTTATGGAAGATGACGAGCTTTGACAACAGAAACCAAGCCATCCATTTCCTCTGCCACTTGCTGTTGTTCATTAAATTGACTTATCCTCTGTATTTTTTATTCTCATGTCTTTTGAATAATGTGACAAGAACACAGTTTCAAATGCCCAAATGGTCTCTTTCCAAATCAGGGTCTTTTCAGTTGTAGTCAGGATTTGGATACACTAAGGCACAGTCTAATGGTTTTTCCCCAGGCAACTACAAAAGCAAATGTTTATTTTGAGAAGCTTTGGTAGCCTCTTGCAGCATAGATGAAAACAGATTGCTCAGAATGAGTTAGACCAGATCACATGAGAGGATAGCTGGATGCTTTGGTTCTGCTAATCAGAAATTAGCAACATACAGATGACTAAATACACTATTGTGGCAGTTTTGCTGCCTGTACATTGATTCAATGTTTACTTATTTGGGGTGGGCAAAAGCTATTTCTTATAGTATGTATTTACCTTTGTTGCGGCAGATAAAAATGATATTAACTTTGGCTGAGGAGAAACATGTCACATACCTTCTGGTGGGGAATTACAGCCCTGGGAGAGTCAATTCTGGGCGCTGTGGTTGAAACCGGCACTGGACGTTTAGATCTGGGAACCCCCCCGAAAGAAAAGAAAAAAGATTAGCAATCTGGACTCCTATATTTCAACTTTCATTTCATGTAAAAATGCTGCTTCATTGGGAGTAAAAACTAAGCGTAGCGTAGATTTTCTAGTGATCATCATGTTTTTTCTACATCCTCATTTGCAAAGGTCTTAAATGTGAGAAAAATTTTGATATAGTTTCTCCGAACAATGAAAAGCCACCAGTTACAGAAGCAGCCTCTGCCTTGGGAAATCATCCGTTTTCCAGTACCTTTTGACAAACTGCATTTTCATAGATGACGCTCAGCCACAACCAGATAAATTCAGGTTTGGGCAGCACTCTGGAAAAAGGGACTTAGAAGTGTCTTAAAATGCAGAGACTAAACATCGGTACTGAAGCATCTCAAGATCAACTCCTCAAAAGATTACTACTTAATAGCTTAAACTGTATAGCATCTGACATAATTTAAAGCTCTCTGCAGGAAGAAACATGGGCTTCGTTTCAGACAATTTAGTCTCAAAAGCAGCAGATCACTACTGAATTAACCACACCCCACTCGAAATGTCTGCCTTTCACCTGTTTTTGACAAATATACATACACGTTCATTTAAAAAACACAAATAAACCCCACTAAAATATTTTCAAAACACAGAGTTTGCCCTTTTCATTGGAACATAACAAAGCAAGCACAGTAACAAATGCTAACTGAAGCACTCAAGGATGCTCAGGTAAGTGAAGAGGCATTGGTGGGAGTTGTCGCGAGAACATCCCCCTGAAATCTTTCCAGTACACATGTGATCACCAGAGAAAATGAAATGAAAAATGTAAAAATAGTCAAACGAATCAGAATTATGCAAGTAGTATCCTATTGCGAACCTACAGATCTGGATTATGCCTGGAATTCTCATTTTTAGAAAGTACATTTCAAAAATTAGGACAGGTACAAAAATGAAATAAAAATACTTAAAAGCATACAGATCAAGTAGAATTGACTGAGACATTTGGAACGGTTTGCTTTAGACAGGAGATGAACAAGGGAAGACATTACAGAGGCTTAGAAAATAATGAATGGTATAAAAAGGGAAATAAAGCCACGTTCCTGGACATTAAGTGAAATTGAAAAGACAGCATATATAACATTGATAAAGGCAAACATTTTTTCCTAGAGCACTTGATTAACCTGAGGTGAAACTCAGTGTTACACCATTGAGACTACGAGAACAGCAGGATAACAGAAAGGATTAGATATTTATACTTACAACAAAAAACCCAGCAGCTGCTTTAAATTGGGTAAAAATAAGTTGCCATACAGATTCTCATTTTTCATGGCACAACTTAAAAGACTAACAGTGGAAGACCTTCTGTGTTAGGTTCATTACTTCCTTACTGAGGGCTGTGTTGCACTTTCCTCTGAAATACTTACCAGTGGCATCTATCAGAGACAGAAAGCTGAGCTAGGCGAAAACTGGGCTCATGCACAGGGGCAATCCCTGCATTAATACCCAGCTTCACATTGCGCTGTTTAAGTACCTTTAGTCACTACACATAAAATATTTCCATAAGCAAGAGCAAACAAACAAAAGAACTCAGGAAAAAGGAATAATCCTTACAGGAACTGGAAAATTTCCATATAGAGGATATGGAAATTATGCCACTTTGAGAGTTGAAAACAAAGATGAGGTAAGAGATGCCTACCTCACAACGAGATAATAGGAAAATGAATAGTTTGAGGAGACAATGAAAACTGGCATTTTGTTAAACAATAGGTAATTAACCTGTGAAATTCACTGACAAAGTATTCCTGAAACAAGAGGCTAGAAAATTATAAAAGACACTAACGTTGACACTCACAGTTGGAATATATCACAATATATTCCCTAAGACATAATTATCTGAGAAATACATACCTTCAAGTTCTAAGAACAAGAGCTAATCACTAACTGCCTAGAACAAACTTTCCTCAGGTGAGTTACCAACTGATCTTCCCTCAGGAGTGAGTGCCATACCCTTCCTCCAACTCTTTTAGCTCAGAAAGAGAAACAATAAATCATATTCAGCCACACGTATCATGAAAGACAGCAAAAAACAGAAAGAAAAAAAAAATCAGCTGCAGCCCAAAACACAGTCAGAGTTTCTGAAAATTGACTGTGACAATTTATGAACAGACAAAGATTTAGGGGGAGAGATCCTACTGCTATTGGGGTTATTTCTGGGTACGCCCCGTTATTTCTGTGAAGTTACGTGGGGGCACCTGGGCATACTCAAGACCACAGCTGTGCAGAGCATACACTAAACTGTCCCCTCTGCTCTGCTCGCTGATCATGAATTTTAGTGCCAAAGCTGCTCAGCACAGTAAACGTTGTTTGTCACGTACAGAGGTATAGCAAACAATCACATACTTACTGCACGTTTGATGCATCACTGGAAAATATTTGTATTGTAGCAAAGGAACTCATTTACCAGACTACTCCCTCACTTCTGTTGTTTACTGTATGTCTATTTTTCCTCACTCATTACCTGACCACAGAAGATGATGTTAGAAAGCTATATTTCTTCCATGTTACTGATAAGCTACATCTGTCATTCACAGTGCTACCCAACCAAGATTTTTATTTCACACTGACTTTGAAGTTTCAAGATGTTACCTTAAAACAATGAGGTTCCTACATAACTCTGCCCTGGATGTTTATCGCTTTGACGTTAAAAACAGAATGATGAAGCTTGCTCGATTTAGCAGAGGCTTGCACCAGAGAAAAGGGCAGAAGAGGTGAAGCCAATTTGTGGAATGAAAGTGTATGCACTTACAGAATAAAGTGATCATTTACATAAGAGGCATTACTCCTCCGGGAAAAACATCTGCAAGTTCAGGACATTGTTTTTCCCCTCCCTCTTTTGCTAGATGAATCAAATTCTGCAGCAATACAAGTTTGCTTTTCAAGTGATGATGGTGCTGTTGCAAACGTGTGTGTCCAGGTTTACATTTTAATCCACTGATTGCACAATTATTTTATTCCAAACACTCCGGGAGTGTACTTGCTTAGTAGGGCTATGAGGAGGACGAAAGTCCAAATTTCACAAGTGACTCTGATAATTTTAGATTTGATGTTGAAATGTACCATCACAAATGTATTTTTGAAGCAATTAATTTGATTTCAACTTTTAGACATTTTCTTCTATATTTTCAAAGTTAGAAATGGAAACAAAAACCTCATTTCAAAGTGAAAACTTGACACAGTTTTAATGATGTACAAGTACATCATACTGGTAGTTCTTTAATTGTCCCCACGGACACGCCTCCTCTCTCCCTTGGTACTGCTTCTCTTTCTTGATGAAGTTCAAAACCAAGATGGATGCAGTTTTGCAAGGCAGTTCAATTTTGATAGCACTGCTGATATGGCTGTCAAAATTTCTACTTGTTCCCACCTACCTAAATATATCTTTAATTGAAGAGCACTTGCCTTCAATCCTGGTATGTTTGCACTCACAACAAAGGTTCATTAGGAGTCAACTGCATTAAGAGGAGCTGCCACAGTTTAACCTGTGTCCTCAGGGGAGCACAATGCTGTACTTGCAGAAAGGTGACATGATCTAAGAGATAACACCGCTTTTTCATCTTCACATGGCTTTTTAATATTTCCTATTTTCACCAGTCAGTGTCTATCTTCTCTTTTCCAATTCTCAGGACAGCTAAAACTAACATTTATTTTCTTACAGTAAGCTCCTGCTTTCGTTTTATTACACACGAGCACTTACTTATACCTTGTTGAGCATTTTAATAACTGTATCTTAATATTTCAACTGCTAGAAAATGAAAAGGGGTCAAGTCATGGAAAGGTAATAAACCAGATTAGATTAGGGTTAGAAATGCTTAGAAAACATTTTACATACTTATCACCTAATTGAAGTGGAGTCATTCTGCAGTGGAGTGGGTGAGCACATAGCAGGATGCAAAACAATAGAGCGTGTAGAATTGGGTTTCTCATATATACCTGTTGTAATGCAATAATATTCCTAACAATTTTGCGGGGGCAGGGGTGGGAGGGGAAGAGACATAAAAGGGACAGACCAAATATTACTCATGGCTATCAATCCGAGATGTCCATTTAATAAATGCTAAGATCGGTAATGTGTCAGTTAAATCTTCAGCTAAACGGTGAATTAAGTAGCCAAACAGAAGCTTCTTCTCGTGTGTAAGTCTTGCACAGGAAATCCTGAGTCTCGTGATACCACGGTTTAATTCTCTAAGCCCTGCCTGGGACATCAGCAAACAGTCTTGGTGACTCCAACGGGAATCACAAAGACAAAACCCTGAACATTTCACAGTACTTCAAATATAACTGCGATCCATTTGGGGCTAGCATGAGACCTACTTTCCCTCTCTCAGGTTATCGTCTGTGCCTGCAATAAAATAGAAAAGTATTTCCATCAGCAGTTTTTCTCTCTGTGTATCAATGGAGAATGCAAATATTAGCATTTGGCTGGATGACTGATTTGTTAATTATTTCCCTGCATTGTGCTGCACTCAGATTGCATGACAGGCAATTATGCTTTCCAGACCTAATGTTCATACCCACAGCAATATATGGACAAAAACTTCTTATGCATAAATGGTACCAATGTAAAGGGAAGCTGCTACCTAAAAAAAAAAAAATTATGAAAGAGGATTTGTTTGGAAGTATGTAATACCCATGTATGTAATACTCATTTTCCCTTAGAAGGGATCCGAGTCAGAGGCAGCTGCAAACATTATGGGATAGAACGAGAAAGGAAAGGGGAAGACGCCCTGGAGATTTTTGTGAAAGGAAGGGAAGAAACAGAACTGCAGATAACGTGTAAAGCTGACATTTTTTGAAAAGGAGTATCTATTAAAAAATGTTGGAGAACCAAATTCTACTCTCCTGGTCTCTCTTTGACCCTTTCTACTTCTGTGGCATCTGCACAGTGCCTGTTGCATCTTCTTAACTCTTCCCCTCCCTCCTGCTATGCAAAATCCTTTCTTTCTTGA